GCTTCAACTAGAGGGACTCTGCACAGGATCACACTGTAAACCCTGCAGCTCTCGTCAGTATGTTTTGCAGATACAGCCTACGTAGAAAGGAAATGCAGTGAGAAACGGACAAGTGATCTATGCTGCGAACAGACTACTTACTCCGCCATGGCCAAAGAATTCACAGTAGCAACAATCACAGTATTTCCCTTCTTTCTGGTTTGTAGATGTTGAGGTACTAGAGCTATGCTCTGAACAGCTGTCTTCATCTTGGCTGTCCTCACCGTCGTACTGCTGGTGGCCGTATAGACTGCTGTCCTCACAGTGATGGCCTTCGCAGTCAGGATCGCTACATGAAGATGGAAAATAGATCCTTTAACCTCAGCCCTGCTCTTGTTATTGTGCACATGTGAAAAGCAGAAAATTAAATGCATGAGGATCAGACTTTTTGGCATATGTGGAAAACTACACTTGCACTAGGTTCTGAGATAACGAATGGCAAGTGCCTTAAGGTTGTTTTACAACTGTCTTTTCCAGCTTCCTGTACTTTACAATGCACACATGATTTCAGCCTAACAGAGATGCACCTTCAGCGCAAAAGATCGTTACTGATACCACAAGTAGGCAACTTTTTAAGTCCCTGACGTAACAATAAAATCAAATTGAAAACAAATGTTTGACTCATTTTTAATGAAGGAAAAGTTTCTGGACACTAACTGATCACCCACCCTTCTCTATCAGAAGGTAAAGGTTCCCTTGCTCGAAATCCAGTCGAGTCTGACTCTAGGGTTGCGGTGCTCATCTCCAGTCTGGTGTAGTGGTGAAGTGTGTGGACTCTAATCTGGGAGAACCGGGTTTGATTCCCCACTCCTCCACTTGCACCTGCTGATGTGACCTTGGGTCAGTCGCAAGCTCTGGCACAGCTGTCCTTGAAAAAGAGCAGTCTGTGTCAGAGTTCTCTCAGCCCCACCCACCTCACAGGGTGTCTGTTGTGGGGAGGGGAAGGGAAAGGAGATTGTAAGCCGCTCTGAGACTCCAAGTGAAGGGTGGGGTATAAATCCAATCTCTTCTTCTTCTCCTCTTTCTTCTCCGTTTCAAAGCCGAAGTGCCAGCGCTGTCTGAAGACATTTCCGTGGTCATGTGGCCGGCATGACTAAACACCCAGGCGCACGGAACGCTGTTCCCTTCCCATCGAAGTGGTACCTATTTATCTACTTGCAGTTTCTTGCTTTCGAACTGCTAGGTTGGCAGGAGCTGGAACTAGAGACGGGAGCTCACTCTGTCATGCGGCAACTCGGGTCTTGAACTGCTGAACTACCGACCTTCCACAGCCTGCAGTTCAGTGTCTTAACCACTTGAGCCACCGCAGCTCCTCTCTATCAGTAACAGTCTTTAATTTGTATTTTCACAGGAGAAAAACAGTCAGAGCCGGGTGACAGCCATAAGCAGCAGACTAAGGCCAAATGGGAATCCATGGAAGAAGGAACAAGCACTTCAAACTTCATCACAAGACAAATAAGACACACTTTTGCAGGGAAGTACCAAGAACTCATGTTATACTTTGCCTGTTTTATGGTTTCATCGTACTTATGGACCATGAGGCTTTGCTGCCCCGACCACCAAACTTAATATAAGGCCTTCAGGCAGTCACCCTCTTCCAGCAGCAGGAAAACCCTTATTTTCCAGCCAACTTTGTTGCTGTCTGATTCTGCAACCACTTACTTGAAAGCAAGCTCCACTTTGAACAGGTGAATTTGCTCCCAAATAAATATGAACAGAATTGCCCCCTTCTAGACTACAACATGAATATTCTCCCAAAAGTACAGCAAGTACAAGCAAAATCAATCTGAAAATTAAGGTCTCTGTAGTTCCTTGGTTTGTAATAACTGATTTAGTCCCTGGGTTTGTAAAATAAAAAAAAAGTGTGTTAATTAAAGAACATATTTTTTTACTAAGCAACCAAGTTGAATCTTAAAATATACTGCCAGATTTTGACTGAAAGATGTTCTTTCCACCCTATTTCTGTTTTAGAAAAAGAAAGATAACCCGGGGGGGGGGCCGGGGGGGGGGGGTAAAATGGCTGAGGTTTGGGGTACGGTTGTTTCTTTCTTCCACTTGAAATCTATGATATGCCATGGCAGTCAACTTCTGTAGAATAGTACAGTGTTTTATAGACTTCATAGCCTGAGCGCTATTATTGCATAGTTATAAACTGTATCTACTAGTTAGAGTTTTGGGATAACCTGGTATGATTGTTATAGTACATTTTTCTTATCTTTAAATCGTCATGGTTAATAACTGTTCATCTACTTTTCCCGCTTCTTTTTTTGTTTCACTTTGCAGAATAAAGTGTGTCTTATCACCCTGACCTGGATAGCCCAGGCAAGCCGGATCTTGGGGCTCTTTTTGTAGCAGGGACTCCTTTGCATATTAGGAGACACACCCCTAATGTAACCAGTCCTCCAAGAGCTTACAGAGCTCTTCTTACAGGGGCTACTGTAAACTCTTGGGAGGACTGGCTACATTAGGGGTGTGTCGCCTAATATGCAAAGGAGTCCCTGCTACAAAAAGAGCCCTCCCCTTAAAATACCAGCAGTCAGAAGGCAGGGGCAGGCTTTATTCAGCCACCTCTCTGAATTTCTTCCAGTAGGAGTCAGTCGCCAGAAGTCGCCATCTCTTCCAGGTACACACAGTCAGTCACCAGAGGTCCCCATGACTTCCAGTTACACACACACACGCACATATGAAAAATACAAAACAAAAAAAAGTGTGTCTTATCTGCCTTACGTTAGCAAGAGCTTCTTTATTTTAGGAAAGATCACTCTGAACCACTATGAACAGACTTTTGAAGTCAGCAAAGTCTGATCCTTTCTCCTCCTACATGGAGCCTCCTGCTGTGCTGGGTGTAGAACAATACACACACACACCCCACTCCTCCTCTTGGGTTAGGAGGAGGGAACGAATATGCACAGTTGTAAAAATCTCATTTAAAAATTACTTGGTGGCAATGATTTACACGCAATTGTAGCCTTCAATTAGACTCCACAGGACAAAAGCCCTAACCTGTCCCTGATACCCAACATAACCAGTGTTCCCTCTAAGCTGAGTTAGTGTGAGCTAGCTCACAGTTTTTTAGTCTCCGGCTCACACATTTTTCTCTTAGCTCAGGAAGGATGGCTCCAGAGCAAACTAATTTATGCAGTAGCCAGATCACTCGCTCACAACTTTAATGCCAGTAGCTCACACAGTAGAATTTTTGCTCACTAGACTCCACGGCTTAGAGGGAACATTGAACACAACCAATGGCAGCGACCATTTGCGCCAGGAATCTGCAGAAACACTTCCAGGGGATAACAGCTGTCCTCTCCCTAACCCGCAGCCCACGGTCAAAGAAAGACCATCTAACTACCTGAAGTTTATCTGTGATAAGAGGGTATTATTAGCTTCCTTCAGTCAAAATCTTGATCACACAAGGCAAGGTCAGCAGGCCTAAAAGTAAATCATGAATCACAGACTAGGGAGGAGGGACTCGTGGAGGACACTCCTCCCTTCATCTCCCTGGATGGGCCAGAGATCCGATTAGGGGTGAGCACCAGTACACCTCTCCTCCTTTGTCCCACACAGCAAATCATCCTCTGACTGCCATAGCACCCATCCACATGCGCCACTCAAAGTCATACAACAGATTGTAAACGCAGAAGAAAAACAAAAACTCTTAATATACATAGGATTTTATCAAATCAGTAGCCCACCCCCTTGAACACACCCTCCCAATTCCAGAGGGAGCACAAAGACTAGGGTACCAGGGCTCCGTGTCAGAGACCAGACCTCTGGTGCTGTTGCTGAAGTTGTATGTAACCAAACCAGGGCTATTTTTGGGCAGGAACGCACAGGAACGGAGTTCCGGCTAGCTCCCAAGTTAGCCACGCCCAGCAGGGGCTCATTAGCATAAGAGGCCACACCCAACAGCAGAAACTCATTAGGATTGGCTACATTAGGGGTATGTGGCCTAGCATGCAAAGGAGTTCCTGCTACAAAAAAAGGCCCTGGGTTTTGACTTCTGGTAACATGTGGGTGCGGCCTAATGTGCTAATGAGCTGTGCTGTCGTGGGTGTGGCCCAATATGCTAATGAGTTCCTGCTGTTGGGTGTGGCCTATTATGCTAATGAGTTCCTGCTGCGCTTTTTCTACAAAAAGAGCCCTGAACCGAACTATCTGCTGGAGGCTTTTCACAAAGGGCAGTCCAATCACTTATTGCCCTAGAGGCGGACTGCTTGCTTACCGGCCACTTGCCAGCACCACAGCCCCCACCTAGGCAAGAGGAGTGCTTTGTTAGTCTGAGACATTTTCTCTCTGCATCTGGAAGGTTTTTTTAAAAAAGGTTTTAATGTGGAAGGGAGGAACTTCCACAAAAACATTCTAAAGAACATACCATATGATCACCTGCTAATGGGACACATAAACAGAAAGCTCTGTAGGTACCAAGGTTCCCTCTAAGCTGTGGAAACTTGTGAGCAAAAATTCTTCTTTGGAAGCTACTGGCATTAAACTTGTGAGCAAGTGGTTTGGCTACTGTATAAATTAGTCTGCTCTGGAGCCATCCTTCCTGAGCTAAGCCAAAAATGTGTGAGCCGGAGGCTAAAAAACTGTGAGCTGGCTCACACTCACTCAGCTTAGAGGAAACACTGGCTAGGTACTACAGAGTGTCTTGGCAATTTCTGAGGGGCACCAGCTAAAGAGCAAAAGGGGGGGGGATTAAGAGAGACAAACAGAAAAAGAAATGAATAATGAATGACCTGACAAACATGCATTCAAAACAAGCCTTCTGCACGAGACAGAGAGGTCATCAGTTTTCACAACCACTTGGAGTCCCCAGCAGGGTTCCCGCTAAGCTGAGTCAGTGTGAGCGCCACACACCCCTAATGTAGCCAATCCTTATGAGTTTCTGCTGTTGGGTGTGGCCTATTATGCTAATGAGTTCCTGTTGGGCGTGGCCAACTTGGGAGCCAGCCGGAACTCCGTTCCTGTGCGTTCCTGCCCAAAAATAGCCCTGTCTAAAAGACATACTTAGAGACAAAACCGGAACAAAATCTCACCTGCAAGCTCTTGATGGATCACTGATCAAACACTCTGTGGCTGAAGGAGGTGCAACTGTCGTAGAATAAAGATCTGAACAGGGATCCCCGAAGCTGGAAGCCGTTGAAGTAACCTCAGAGAAAGATGAAGTGTCAGGACTTTGGAGATGAGGAGCAGAATTTGGAGAAAGCACCACAGGAGAGAGTGAAGGAAGCAATGCTAAACAGGTAGAATTGTTTTGTGGTGCAGCTGACAAAGAGTGATCTTCGGTACTCATACTGTGAAACACTTGACCTAAATGAGGGGGAGGAAAAATCACTCAGATTAATCAAATGCCAACCATTTGAAAAAAATACAAGATTATTGTCAAGTTTAAGTTACGGCACCTGTGTAACAGTTCAGAATTAATTACATTCTGTTTGAATGGCTATTCGAGCAAATAGCTGCCTCTGTTTCCTCTGCCAGAGCCAAGAGAGTTTTTTTTTTTGGGGGGGGGAGTTTAACACATATCTTATCCCTACACTGCTAACTCCAAACACCACCTTTTCCTAAATAAAATTAAAACTTGTTGTCGGATGCAATCATAAGAGAACATAGAAACATAAGAGAAGCCAACGTTGGATCAGGCCAATGGCCCATCCAGTCCAACACTCTGTCACACAGTGGCCAAAAATACCAGGTGCCA